GGGGGCGGGCAGCCCCGGGGCCTGGGCAGGGGCCTGCGCCCACCCCTGGTCGTGGCAGCAGCCCAAGCCCTCGCCGAGCCCCTCCGGCGCCCGCAGGTTTGAGAAACTGGACCCCGAATTGTGAGCTTGTCCCCCCGACGGCCGCTGAGAGCTCGTGGACGTGAAATGCACGAAGGGGCCGGATCTGGGCGCGACGAGCGAGAACTTGGAGATGCAGGGCGGCCTCCGCGGCCCCGGAGGGAGGGCAGCCCCGGCCCTCGGTGGCCCCGCGGCGTCCTCGGCCGGCCCGGCGCACGGCCCGGCGTGGCCACCAGGGGGCAGGGGCGCGCTGTCCTGGCCCCGGCGCCCACCTGCTGGGCGGACTCTGCCTGCCGGAGTTTGCGCGCAAAAAGATTCCAAGGAAAAGTTCAAGTAACAGCTTGGGCACCCGCTCCCGCTCTCCAGCTCCCTGGTAAACGGAGCTGCGCCTGTAGCAGCCCGGGGCACCCCTCACCGCTCCATTTTCACTGGTGAGCAGCCAGCCGAGTAATAATGCAAGCGTTTGCAGCCTGGGAAGCCCGGTCCTGTCTCCTGTCCGGTCCGCAGACGTGGGGCCTGACCGCAGCTGGGGCACTGCAGGGGCCCGGTCTCCCCGGTTGCCCGGCCCCCAGCCCCTCGCAGCACCCCTGCGCCCTCGGCTGCAACCCCATCTGTCTGGGCTCTGAGGGGGCCGCGGGAGGGGGCCGGCTGGGGCCCCCCAAGTGTCGCTGGGGGTCTGGTAGCCAGGTCCTTTCCCATCAGTCTTTCCCAGCATGTCCTTGACTATTTAATTTTTTCTTTTCTGGCTCAAATTCTCTCCGGGGACCCCTGTCCACCTTTCCCAGTGGAATGTGGCCCTGGCGTCCAGCCCGGGGGTCCTGAGGCAGCTGCGGCCCCCGGCACCGGGGCTGCACCTGGGGGGGGCAGTGTCCGCTGCCCGGCCCTGCGCCCCTATGCCCCGAGCTCCCTTCCTAGGGTCAGCTTTGTCCTGGGGTGCGCCCCCCACAGGGGCCCCTGCTGCTAGCTAGGGGCTCAGGCCCTGGACTAGGCAGCTGGCCGTGAGGATGCCGACAGAGGCCCTGCGGGCGGCTGTCCTCTCTCCAGGCCGCTGGAGCCCAGCGTAGTCGGTCTGGTGGGCGGTGTTGTGACCTTCAGGCCTGAGTCCTCCACTTGGGGTGTGTCTGGGGGCTATGTCCTGTGGGGTCCAGGCTGCCCCTGCAGGAGACCCCCTCACAGCGTGAGCGCCAGCCAGACACTAGGTTGGGGATTACAAGCGGTGTTTCCCAGAAGCTCTGTCCACTCACTCTGGTCCCCGGGGTCACCTGTCTGACCAGCCAGATGGCCCTGAGGGAGGAGCGGACAGGGGTGCGGGTGTGAGGCCCGGGCCAGGGCAGGGAGCCTGAGGGGAAGGCCGGCGGGCCTTCCCTGAGGTGGGCCTGGCGCTGGCCGGCATGCAGCCCCCCGTGCCCCTTCCTGCGTGGACAGGGCCTCCCCCGCCCCCGC